AAGAAACAAAGCTGTCATTGGCAGATGACATGATTGTATATGTAACAAAATCCACAAGATCTCTGAATAGACCATTTCAATTAATAAGAGAGCTTAGGAAATCCTCTGAATTTAAAATACCTACATATAAAAATCCATGATATTCCTATACACCAGCAACAATTAGACAACCAAAATTTAAGGAAGATGCCATTTATAACAGCATTAAGCATTAATTAATAACACTAATGCTAACAAAAATTTGCAAGATTTCTATGAATAATATGAATATACTTAGAGAAGCATATTAAATATAAAGACATCCTAAATAAATGGAAAGATGCAACCTGTTAATAGATTTGAAGACTTAGTATTGTAAAAATGTCATTACATTTTTAAGAATGTTTTCTTAATCTATAAATTAAATGTCATCACAATTAAAATTCCAAAACTATTTTTGTGGAATTTAACAATTGGCTCCTAAATTTTAAAGTCTAAAGGGCCAACAATAGCAAAGCCACTCTTATAAAAGATAAATAACGTAAGAATATCTGCCCCACCAGATTTCAAGGCCCCTTTTCCATTATGCCATGCACAAAAATGAATTTTACACGAAGCTATGAAACCTTTAGAAGATAATACCTGAGAATATCATTATGACTTCCAAAGTAGGGACATTCATGATCAAGAAATATCATGCATTAAGCAAAAGGAAAAGAATGATAAACTGAACTACTATAAAATTAAAGATTGTTGTTTATTAAGATATACCAAAAAGAGAGCCAGAGAGGAGAACCGAATTTGCAGCACAGGTAAGTAACAGAGAACTATGCCTAAAGTATTAAGAAAGCATAGAAATCCACAAAGAAAAGACAATTCAATAGAGAGACTTAAACAGATACAAATGGACAATTAACATGCGAATTAATAGGGAAATGCAAACTGAGACCTTAATGAGATATCACTATAGACCCACTAAATGAGCTAAAATTGAAAAGCTGTACAATATCAAGTGTGGTGAGATTACAGAACAAGATCTCTCATCCTGTTGATGAAATGTATATATGAAAAATGCACACACATGCACCTCTGCACATTTACAAAAATGTTCATTGTAGCATTATTTGCAATATCCCTACAATGAAAAGATAATTATTAGAATTAACAAGTTATAGTGGGTATTTTTATACAATGAAACTCTAAATAGTATTTCAGAGCTACAGATAGCATACATTAAGTGGAGAAATAAAGCAAAAACACAAAGGAATACATATTCATTTACATAAACACTCTGAAGATTTATATAAAATTCAAAAATTGGTAAGACTGTTATAGAAATGCAAACACTGGGCCTGGTGTGGTGGCTCACACCTGTAATCCCAGCACTTTGGGAGGGTGAGGCAGGTGGATCACTTGAGGTCAGAAGTTTGAGACCAGCCTGGCCAGCATGGTGAAACCCTGTCTCTACTACAAATACAAAAATTAGTCTGGCGTGGTGGCATGCACCTGCACAGGGAAGCTGAGGAAGGAGAATTGATTGAACCTCGGACACAGAGGTTGCAGTGAGCTGAGATGCACCACTACACTCCAGCCTGGGCGAGAGTGAGACTCCATCTCAAAAACAACAAAAAATTGATTAAAAAAAATAAATGCACACATTGGCATTTGTTGAAATTTATTTTGGGGCCTTATACCTGATTGCTGTAAATATTCAATGGTTATTGAAAAAAATGTATATTCTGCTTTGATTACAGTGAACTTTTTATGTACAAATATAAATATAATAAGCATACATATATAATGCACATACCACATATATCATATATATTTGATCAGTTATTAATTTGTTTGCTTGATCTGCTAGTTTGAGAGAAATTTATCTTAAAAAAATCCCACCATGATTGTGGATTTGTCATTTTTCTTTATTTTTGCTTCATATTTTCTCAAGCTTTGTCATTAGCTGCATACATGTCCTTGATTAAAATTTTCCTAGTGGATTTTTCTTGATAATGTAATAAAATGCACCTCTTCATCACTGTTAATGTTATTCAACCTCTAGAATACTTTTGCTAACTAATATTGCTACTTCAAGCTTTTTAAATTAGAATTTGCCTGGCATGTCTTTTTCTATCTCTTTATTTTCTGTATTTTAGTTGTTTAAACTATTTTTGATATGTTTGTTTTGTTTTTAACTGTCTTCATAGTAGAACACTGGTCAGCTGGTGAGGTATTTATGTGATTAGATAAGAGGTGGTTAAACTGTGATATTAATCTAGCCTGTACCATCAGCAAATGATAGCTCATTTTGAGGCTGTCTCCAGGAAACAGTCTCTCTAAACCCTAGAATGTCTTCATTTAAAATCAAGGTTTTGTTGGTAGAAGGCTAGCCAGTTTATTTTTATATTCTCACTTGTCAAAACATCAAAGAAAGTACTAGCTTTTTATATTAGAAAATGTGTCATTTTCAGGTTAAAAATTTAAAGATTTCATTATTTATATTACTTTGTTTTAAAATTTAATTTCTGACATGTGGGCATTGTTTTTTTTTTTTTTTTTTTTTTTTTTGTATTCTTACTAAAAGCCTCAAAGAAACATTTTTAAGCAAAATGTTCACATTTTGTAGGCTAATAACTTGGTATAAGAGAGTTTAGGGGAATTAGAGTGATTCAATTGGAAGAGATGGAGAGAGTCGGATCAGAGTTGTGATTGGATTAGGACTGATTCAATTAGGATTTTGATGGTAAATATAAAGCCTGATCTCACATGACTTTTTTATTTAGAGATTCTCTCCTGAAAGAAAATCATATTTCTGGGTCTTATCTTCATTTGAAATCAGGATTTCAGACTAGCACAATGTAAATTATTTTCTCCTTTAAAATATAAAATAGATTAGGCAATAACTTTTTACATCAGAACACAGTTTTTCTTTTTAAAACTAATTAATTAATTCATCCATTCGTTCTTTCTTTTATTCACTCATATGGAAACTGTTTATTGGGTAGCTTTGGTGCCAGGCATTGTTTTAATGCTTGGCCCTATATCACTGAGCAAAACAAAGATCCCTGCCCTTTTAGAACTTATATTCTACATGGGAGAAACAGAGAAAGAAACAATAAATGTAATATAACTAAATTACATAGGGTCATGGAAGACGATACATGCCATGCAATTATGTATAATACAATTTGAAAAAATAAAAAGAAGAAAGCAGGGAAAGGGAGATATGGAGTAAACAATGTTAGGGGACAGAGAAAGAGAACAGGTACAATTTTAAACAGGGATGCCCAAGGTTGGTTGGCCTCCATTTGAACAAAGACTTGAGTAAGACAGGGAAGAATTGCCTTGCCAGAGAAAACAGCTAGTGTGAGGGCCTTGAGCAGGAGCAGCAATGTGTGTGTCCAAGCAACAACAGGGAAGAGGCGGCCAAGAAAAGCATACGCAAGTGATGAGGTCAAAGGGGTAGGGGAAAGGATAGACTATAGAAAACCACTGTGAACACCTTGGCTTTTACTGTGAAGGTAATGGGGGACCAATGCCCTCACTGTTTGACTGAATCCCCTTTTCTTTCAATCCCATCCAACTATGTTATTAATTTTTTTAACTGTTGCCAATCTGAGGCTGTAATGTATAATCCATTTTTAGTTTACTTTCATTTTCCTCATTAGAAGGTTGAGTGTCTTTCATGTTTATTGACTATTGTCTATTTGGAATTGCTTTTTCTGAATGGCCTGTTTATATCTTTTGTTGATTTTTTAATTGGGTAATTTGTAATTTTTATATTACGTGTATCATTAGTAGTAGTAGTAATCCTCGTATGTTATAGGCATTACAAAATTTATTTGCCAATCTGCATTTATTGACTTGTCTTTGGCATCTTCTGCTATAAAATTAATTTTTGGGTAGATAAATTTTTAAAAATTATTTATTTTTAAAGCTTTTAAGGTATTCTGCTTTGATTGAAAAATATTTCAAATTCTAGGTTCTATAAATAGTTTCTTAAATTTTCTTCTTAGGTTTTTATGGTTTCCATTTTCCCTTTTAGGCGTTGATTTTGTTTAAGCTTTAAACTGGAATTCCTATGTTACTCCTGCCATAAGAATAATCAGTTTTGCAATCAAGGGCCAAACTACATTGCTTTCACATTTAATTAAATGCTACCTTTGGCATATTAAATACACTATACCATGTCGAAAAGCTGATAAAAATGATATGAAAGGGACGGCCTCACAGATCAGAAGAAACAGAAAATACACTGCAAGATGCCAGTCACTATTAGGATCCAGAGCACAAAGGAGAGTTTGGGTCACCTCATCTCCAGTAATACATGAGAATCTGAGGATATAGGAATAGCCAAAGGCAGCTAGATAGATCTGCTGAAAGAAGAGATGAGAAGTCAACGTTTAAGAGCTTCTGTTTTCTGAGAAGAATGGGGAGGGAAAAGGAGGTGACAGAGGCATGTAGACTTGAAAAAAGGGGAATGTGGAAAATTATATTATTGCAGAGGGGGAAAATAAACAATTAGGAGAGTAGAAGAGCACTGGCAGGCAGAAATAAAAGCCAAACTAGATTTTGTGGTAACAGGTTTAAAATTCTTGGGAGGTTATGTGATTTTTGCCAGCTAGGTTAATTGATTGGATGAATTTCAAGATTTTAGTAAACTTTTCTTTTTTTTAATATTCTCAAACCATTTAAGTCAAAAGCTTTCGTTTCAATTTCTTATTAGCACTTTCAGACCATTTAAGTCAAAAGCTTTTAATTTTTTGGATTGATTAAATTGTATATTGGTGTTAATGAAATTATAGGGTGGTTATTTGATCTCCATTGGCAGCCAAAAGATTGGGTTAGCAGGCTGGAAGTTAAATCAATGGAGGTGATTCACTCTGGGCTAATAAAGACAGTTGGAACATAAAAACTGGGTTTTTTTTTCTATAATTGTGTTACCATCTTGCCATTGTTACTTCATTCTTCTACTTCATAGTGCATCATTCATTCATTCATTCATTCATTCAACAAATACTTACTCAGTACCTATTATGTGCCAGGCACTGTTCTATATGCAGAGGATACACCCAGTGAACAAGAGAGACAAGGTTCCTGCTTTCCTGGAACTTATGTTCTAATACAGGAAGATAGACAATAATAAAAATAATATTAATAATGATAATAGCTAACATTTATTTAGCAAGTACTATTTGCTGAGACAGTTCTAAGCACTTTACAAGTATAAATTCACTTAATCCTTAGTGTCGTATTATAAGTTAGGGACTGGAATTATGCCCATTTTACACATTAGGAAACTAAGAGCACGGAAAGGGGAAGCGACTTGCCTAAGGTTACAAAGCTAGGAAAGGGCAGAATTGGAATTTAGAACAAAAATGAGCAGGCTGAAGATCTTTTTCACTTAATGACTTTCCTATGCTGCCTCTCACACAACAAACAAGGCAATAAAAAAAGAATAGAATAGATTCTGGTAATGTTCAGTGGTAGGAAAAAATGAAACAGAATGATGTGATGGTGTATAAACACAAGTGTTGGAGGGGAAGGAGTGGGAAAACCTCACTGTGATACCTGAGACATGAAGGATGGTGATAGTTATCTTGGGGCACAGGCAACAGAGAAAAGCTAGTTCAGACGCCCTAAGACAGAAGGAATCTTGCCCTGCTTTGTAAAACAGAAATCACTTGGCTGTGTCTAGAGCTTAGTGTGGAAGCAAGTGACTGATTGGAAGTGAAGTCTGGAAGATGGCGAGGGCCAGACTCTGTGCGGTCTCAGGTCACATTAAGAAATGTAATTTTTATTCTAAGTGCACTGGAATTTTATACGGATAGTAACACCATCTGATTATTTTTAAAAGACCACTCTTTAGGCTATATGCAGCATTGACTGTAGGATAAAAGGTGGCCCAGGAAGATACATTAGGAAAAATTTCAATCCATGTAGGAGACAGTGTTGGCAAGAACAAGGGTAGTGGCAGTAGAATAAAATTTCTGGTAAGTATTTAAAGTCGAATCGTTAAGACCTGTAAATGAACTGTATGTGAAGAGTGAAGGGAAAAAAATTTAAATAGGCACTCTGGGATTTTGGTTTGAGTAACTAGTATGATGACCGTGTCCTTCACTGAGATGTGTAATTTTGATAAGAAAAATCAAGATTTTCATCTTGAACTTTATGAGTGAAAGGGCTTTTTCTGCTTTTTTTCCCTTCATTTAAAAGTTGCAAAGAATTTAGGGATAATAAAGCATTTAAATTTTCAATTTTGTGAGCTCCTTACATTTTAAACTAAGTTGGGGAAGTTGAATTTCCATTTCACAAGTATTTATTGAGCAACTACTGTATGTCAAGGTCTATGTGATGATATACCAAGTTGAACTAAGCAATCAAGATCTCTGTTCTCAGATTGACTTATTTTTTTATGGAAGGGAGGAGTGACGATTGGTGGGTTTTTTGGTTTTTGGGTTTTCTCCTTTTCGTTGTCTTATTAAAACTTAATATTTGAGTAGCCATCTTAATAACTACACTGTGCTCCTGGCAGTTGGGCCCACCGTTCTAAACGCTGTCGTAAATACTGACATCTCCCCTCCCACAAGAACTAACGTTTTTTTAAATAAAAAATTTTAGCAAACATTACGCATACAACCTTTGCTTTGAAGTGTAATATTTTTGCAGGAATGGTACCTTTATAAAGATCGTGGTTGCCCCGTACTTATTTGTTCTTTCTTCATATCCAATTAAATGAAAACACTAGTTTTTCCGAAGCCCAACTCTCTAGGCTTGTTGGTTCTAGCTCAGGAGAAAGGATGGAAGCAGGAGTCGTTGGATTTAAACAGTTTGGTGTAATCCTTTTCCACGCTCTAGCCCGCTAGCCGGGGACGTGGTGTCGGCTACCCGGGGCTTTCCGTCCACGCAGTACCGGAATGGAGTCTGGGAGGGGGTCGGGGACGGAAAAGACGGAAGAGACATTAAGTAATTGGTTCTTGAAGGTATAAAATGATGTTTAGGGTCTACTCTAAGGCACTGATTTCAAACGCCCGCCCCCTGGGCCGTTTCGGCCCCGCCCCTTACTGCCGTTACGCCAACTTCCACTTCGGCCTCTGCGGATTGGTTGTTACCTCCTCCTCTGAAGCGCTTGGGTTTTGCTTCCGGGTCGTAGGCGCTAGCCCTGAGCGCAGAGGTTCTTGGGAGTCAAGCGTAGTAATGGCTTCTGTATGATCTTCGGAGCCTGCTGCATTGGACCTCGGCCAAGGTGAGCGGCAGGAGGATAACAGATTATCTTCTTTATCCCGGTAGGACGAGAAAGGGCAGTTGGGGTCGGAGTTGGTGGCAGAGTGCTGAGCGCGGGCGGCGGAGGCCCTGAAGCAGCCCGCTAGGGGCGGAACCGAGTGCCTGTCAGGCGCGTCCGGAGCTCTCGGCCTGCAGTTGAGATCGCAGCGTAAAGGCAGCTCGCCTACCGCTTAAAGCGAGCCTTAGGTCCACCCTTCACTACCCCTCGCATCCCTGTAGTACTAGGCACGGGTGAAGAGGCAGCGAGTTTCTGGTTAAAGCGAAAGACTAGCTTTCCGGAGGCCGGAGTGATAATTCTGTTGTGTGGGAAGGGGCGGTGCCCCCAGCGCCAGATAACCCTGTTTCTTCTTTGAATACCTGCTTCTACCATTTTTGGAAATCAAGAGAAATAGCCCTACAGCAAAAAAAAAAAAAAAAAAAAAAACAGAAAACGAAAAAACAAATCCTCCCAATTCGCCCACCCTCCCACACACTTACTTTTCCGACACCTACAGGGTTTTAGTAACTAAATCTGTATACAGTATTCTTGTGACTGCGCCAAGCAGAAAATAACTTAAGGAATGGGTCCCTGGTTGTTGGTATTAGAATCCTCTGGGGTGAGGTTCTTGTTTTTTTGCACAGTTTTTAAATTACAACCCACAAAAGATCTGATTTATAATATGATGCCTGTTGTAGAAGAAAATTGGATCAACAAAAGGTTTAAGAATTTTTTTTCTATGTAACTGTCATTGAAGTGTAACACACTTTTCTCTAGGGCACTTAGTCACTTCGTCAGTGATTTTTTAAAAATTGTTTTTGGCTTTTGTTTCTATTAGTCTATTTGCTATTGTGTGAAGTTTAGATAAAATGCAAACCTTAGAGACTGATGGAGTAAGGTTGAGCTGAGAATTTTTAAAACTCAGATATGACAGTGCTGTATTTTACAAGGGTTTTGACATGTTGTGTCGTAATTCTTACAGTAATCCTAGGAGGAATATCTCCATTCCGCAGATGACAGAAAGTTAAGCTAGGTGACTTCCTGAGGCCCACACAGTCAGAACAAGAATGGGGATGCAAACTCAGATCTTCATGACAATTTTTTGTACTAAAACATGCCTGGGAAGCCATATTTCTTGTACTGCCTAAGCCTCATAATTTATATTTTCTTGAAAACTTTTTTTTAAGAAGATTAAGCAAGTTTTGGGGAATGAGTTTTAGAAATTATTTCACCAGTATGGCTATTGATTAATACTCTGTAAAATGAGAGTTCGTAATGTTGGAAATAACTTGATACTATTTTTCTTCAAAGCATAAAAGATGACAACTGCAGCCAGGCCAACCTTTGAACCTGCAAGGGGTGGAAGAGGAAAAGGAGAAGGTGATTTGAGCCAACTTTCAAAGCAGTATTCAAGCAGAGACCTACCTTCTCATACAAAGATAAAATACAGGTAATAAGACTTTTTTGTTGTTGTTTGCAAAACAAGACCAAATCTGTTAAATGACATGGTCATGATATAGTCGTATGTTTGAGTTATGTTACTTACCTATTTTCATAGGCATAGAATGCAATAGGATGTTTAACACTAAAATTTTGCTCTATGATTTTAAAATGCAAAATTCCTACTAACCAGGAATTTTGATATGTAGATAGAACAATAAATAATATAAATGATAATGTCTCAGAGAGACTATGCACAATCAGCACCAGTCAATATATTTTAAATGTTACTGTTCTGAGTTGATATAATACTAATTAAAGATATTTTAATCAGTGTAAAGCCTTATTATGGGAAAATATGTGATTGAATTTGGATTTCTTGAAATATTGGGAACATCACAAGAGTGGCTATTAGTAACCCTCAGATTAGCTTATGATCTTGTCTACTTCCCTTTTTTATGCTTGAAGTTGTGTGTGTATGTGCTTAAGTAACATTTTTGCCCTGGCTTTTTACTTTAGACAAACTACTCAGGATGCCCCTGAAGAGGTTCGTAACCGTGACTTCAGGAGAGAGTTGGAAGAAAGAGAGAGAGCTGCTGCAAGAGAGAAAAATAGGGATCGTCCAACCCGAGGTACCAACACTATCCCAGACGTTTGTCTCATAAAATTATCTTGTTGATAGTTTTTCTTTCATGTAGCAACTGGAAAATGTTAACCATTTGTTTGCTTTTACAGCTTGATGTGAGCTATAATACTTTCTTAAGTCATTAGAGATGATAATAACAAACATTTACCAAAAGCATATTTGCCAGGCACTATGGATATGATTTCTGTTGTCATAAATGCTTTTAATGTGGGCTCTTTGTGCCCACAGGTCCCTAAAACATTTTAAGAAATGCAGTATTTGTTTTACTAAGTTAAATGATTTTTGTTTCCACCTAGAACATACAACCTCCTCTTCAGTGTCAAAAAAGCCACGGTTAGACCAGATTCCTGCTGCCAACCTTGATGCAGATGACCCTCTAACAGACGTATGTTTTGTTTCCTCCTTTCATCTCTATCTAATAATTGATTTACCATGTTTTTCTAAAATACTTGTTGTGCTTTTGGCTTTAAGAAGTGACCTGTATTTATGTTTACTTACTATTATTCAGATATAGCCCCAACCTCAGTGCCAAACTTTATAGTTGATTTTAAAACAAAAAGTATTATTTTGTAGTAAGGACCTTAAGAGCAAGTTTGATCTCTAGAGAACCAAAAATGGAAGGAACTTATTAAAGGATATGCTTTCCCCCAAAATAATACCCTGTACTAAACTACTGCACTACTGCTGGGTTTCATATCTCTACAGGGCACTCTTCACACTGGGCTCTCTATGAACAGTGCCCTCTAGAGTTGTACCCTGCGGCCTTTTTACATTAGATATGATGCCCCCTCCGTTAAGTGCAAGACACTTAATGGTTCCCTCTGTGCTTAGGGAGGGAAGTAATCTAAGCAGAAGGTTTTTAAGGACTAGCACATCAGTTAATGTTAAAATCCTGTGGGACCTTAGACCCTATAATTAATTTGCAGTTTTCTACATATAGGACAGTGAAAAAACCTGAAGTGGCATCCAGTGAGTAATATCTAACTATTTATACACATCAGCAGTTAATTCTAGAGTTAAATGATAGAGTTACTCATAATAGTTTAAAACAGGAAACCTAATTTCAAGTGAAATTTAATGATTATTCATTTGAAATTTTTTTTTCTGAGAATTTAGCACACTTTTTTGCACTTTTGATTACTTGCTAGCTTAAAGTTGTTTTGAGCTACATAAAATTGTTTTGAGTCTCTTAGGGTGATAAACTGTACATATGTATCATATTTTGGTAATGTATATTTTCTGTCTAATCTTACGGACTCTCACTGTTCTTTTAGGAGGAAGATGAAGATTTTGAAGAGGAAAGTGATGATGATGATACTGCAGCTCTTCTTGCAGAACTGGAAAAAATTAAAAAAGAAAGAGCTGAAGAGCAGGCCAGAAAGGTAAAACCAAAGTTTTAAATATTTACATCTCTCTATCTTCTCATATATACTAAAGTAGCAAATTTTTAAAAATATAAGTAATACCTTCTTATATTGGAAATTTCCCTTGCCATGTCTAAATATTTAGCACTTGTAGATCTATAAATCTTATTATTTGTATGACATCCTAGGTATCCTGGTTATGTAAAAAATTCTTTCCAAATAGTTCAAATACATTGAGTAATATTCACCAGCTTGCTAGTCATTTACTTGTTTATTCGTTTGTTCAGCATTTACTTGATGGTTGTTAATTGACAAGAGAATCAAAGATGATCAAGATATAGTCATGGTCGGCAAAGATTATCTCTCTGTTTGTCTCCTGCCTAGGTACTATTAAGGCAATCTGTCAACAGATTTCATAAAACCTGTGTCAAGCTATCTAACTTCTCTGAGCCTCCACAGCTTCTTGGTCTCTCCATTTATACAATATGAGGAAAAAATATAAAACTCAAAGATAGTTAAAACTTTGAATTACCCAGAGTGATATTAAGAGGTAAAACTGAAGTGGCAAGAACAAGTCAGAGCATTAGAGATTGGCAGAATAAGGCTGTTGGAGTCTCAATTTTTTCTAAAGGACAGGAGGAGCCAGTTGATTTCAGCAGGAGATTGATAAAATTGGATATGTATTTTATAAAGATTACTCTGGCAAAAATATGAGGATGAATTGGAAAAAACTGAGTTAGGAGGCTGTTCCAGTAATCTTCCCATGCAATTAAGAGACTCTCAGCTTGTATGATAGGAGTTGGAATTGAGATAAGTAATGAGATGCTGATAGAGCTATCAGGGAGGTCAAAGTGGGAAGGGGAGCAGGGAAAAATAAAAAATAAAAGGAGGTTGGTCAGGTGCAGCGGCTCAAACCTGTAATCTCAGCACTTTGGGAGGCCAAGGCGGAAGGATCCTTAGGTCAGGAGATCAAGACCATCCTGGCCAACGTGGTGAAACCCCATCTCTGCTAAAATACAAAAAGTTAAGCGGGCGTGGTGGTGCCTGCCTGTAATCTTAGCTACTCAGGAGGCTGAGGCAGGGGAATCGCTTGAACCCAGGAGGCGGTGGTTGCAGTGAGCTGAGATCACGCCACTGCACTCCAGCCTGGCAACAGAGCAAGACTCTGTCTCAACAAAATAAATAACTAAAAAAATAAAGGAGATTGAGTTGATAGGTAAAGTAACTGACTGATTGCAGCAGCAGAGAGGACTCTCAGCTTCTAGGTAGACATTGCTGCCATACATCAATACAGGGAATGCAAAAGAATTGGCATATTTAAGCAGAAAGAAGAGATGGTTGATGAGTTCTGTTTGAACATATTGAATTTGACACATTGTGAGACA